GTTGACTAATACATCTGAGACGGGAAATCAGTGCCTGTATGCACACAGTATAAATACTATTCCAAGCAAGCAGTATACATACTATTCCAAGCACGCAGTATAAATACTATTCCAAGCACGCAATATAAATACTATTCCAAGCACGCAGTGTAGATACTATTTCAAGCACGCAGTGTAGATACTATTTCAAGCACGCAGTATAGATACTATTCCAAGCACGCAGTGTAAATACTATTCCAAGCACGCAGTATAAATACTATTCCAAGCAGGCAGTATAGATACTATTCCAAGCACGCAGTATAAATACTATTCCAAGCACGCAGTGTAAATTCTATTCCAAGCAGGCAGTATAGCTACTATTCCAAGGACGCAGTATAAATACTATTCCAAGCACGCAGTATAAATACTATTCCAAGAAACGTTTCCTTTATAAAGCTGGAGTAATGTAATCTGATGATATTTTGATTGATTTCTCGTCAGAGCACGGTTTGTCCTGTTATCAAACATTTCAAACGAACCATTTTCTAAAGATATCAGTATCGTAGACACTATTTTCTTATAATACTGCAATACTATGTGTTTATATCAGTAACGATTGTACGGATAGTAAATGGTTTGGGCATTTACAGGATTAAACAACCTATAAACAGCTGTTATATCATTTAAGGGAAACTATGGCTATACTTGCCGCCTGATGATAGCGCGGATCTGATGCCAACTTTTTAGAGTGTTACCTTGCAGAAACACCATGCCGAAGGCACCAACACAGCATACGGCCCGGTCACATTACACCGACAACGGGTAAACCAGTTGTTGCCATTTCCCAAAGTGCTGAACGTTAAGCAGGGAATAACGACTACCATTTAATGACTTTTGTCTGACCCGGAACAGGGACACCCAGGTCCTATTGTTGCAATGTGTACAGCAGATTTGTGACCCAAAGACGAGAATAAGTACCTTACTTAGTTACCTATTACATGTAGTGGGTAAGAGCAGGTATATTATTTTCCCAATCCCCGACCTGTAGGAGTGGCCAGAACTGGTTATAGCCTACTATATACCTGAAGGGGTGGCCAGAACTGGTTATAGACAACTATATACCTGAAGGGGTGACCAGAACTGGTTATAGACAACTATATACCTGTAAGGGTGGCCAGAACTGGTTATAGCCTACTATATACCTGTAAGGGTGGCCAGAACTGGTTATAGCCTACTTTATACTTGTAGGGGTGGCCAGAACTGGTTATAGCCTACTATATACCTGAAGGGGTGGCCAGAACTGGATATAGCCTACTATATACCTGTAGGGGTGGCCAAAACTGGTTATAGACTACTATATACTTGTAGGGGTGGACAGAACTGGTTATAGACTACTATATACCTGTAGGGGTGGCCAGAACAGGTTATAGACAACTATATACCTGTAGGGGTGGCCAGAACTTGTTATAGCCTACTATATACCTGTAAGGGTGGCCAGAACTGGATATAGCCTACTATATACCTGTAGGGGTGGCCAAAACTGGTTATAGCCTACTATATACTTGTAGGGGTGGCCAGAACTGGTTATAGCCTACTTTATACCTGTAGGGGTGGCCAGAACTGGTTATAGACAACTATATGCCTGTAGGGGTGGCCAGAACTGGTTATAGCCTACTTTATACCTGTAGGGGTGGCCAGAACTGGTTATAGACAACTATATCCCTGTAGGGGTGGCCAGAACTGGTTATAGCCTACTATATACCAGTAGGGGTGGCCAGAACTGGTTATAGACTACTATAGACCTGTAGGGGTGACCATAACTGGTTATAGCCTACTATATACCTGTAAGGGTGGCCAGAACTGGTTATAGCCTACTATATACCTGTAGGGGTGGCCAGAACTGGTTATAGCCTACTATATACCTGTAGGGGTGGCCAGAACTGGTTATAGCCTACTATATACCTGTAGGGGTGGCCAGAACTGGTTATAGCCTACTATATACCTGTAGGGGTGGCCAGAACTGGTTATAGCCTACTATATACCTGTAGGGGTGGCCAGAACTGGTTATAGCCTACTATATACCTGTAGGGGTGGCCAGAACTGGTTATAGCCTACTATATACCTGTAGGGGTGGCCAGAACTGGTTATAGCCTACTATATACCTGTAGGGGTGGCCAGAACTGGTTATAGCCTACTATATACCTGTAGGGGTGGCCAGAACTGGTTATAGCCTACTATATACCTGTAGGGGTGGCCAGAACTGGTTATAGCCTACTATATACCTGTAGGGGTGGCCAGAACTGGTTATAGCCTACTATATACCTGTAGGGGTGGCCAGAACTGGTTATAGCCTACTATATACCTGTAGGGGTGGCCAGAACTGGTTATAGCCTACTATATACCTGTAGGGGTGGCCAGAACTGGTTATAGCCTACTATATACCTGTAGGGGTGGCCAGAACTGGTTATAGCCTACTATATACCTGTAGGGGTGGCCAGAACTGGTTATAGCCTACTATATACCTGTAGGGGTGGCCAGAACTGGTTATAGCCTACTATATACCTGTAGGGGTGGCCAGAACTGGTTATAGCCTACTATATACCTGTAGGGGTGGCCAGAACTGGTTATAGCCTACTATATACCTGTAGGGGTGGCCAGAACTGGTTATAGCCTACTATATACCTGTAGGGGTGGCCAGAACTGGTTATAGCCTACTATATACCTGTAGGGGTGGCCAGAACTGGTTATAGCCTACTATATACCTGTAGGGGTGGCCAGAACTGGTTATAGCCTACTATATACCTGTAGGGGTGGCCAGAACTGGTTATAGCCTACTATATACCTGTAGGGGTGGCCAGAACTGGTTATAGCCTACTATATACCTGTAGGGGTGGCCAGAACTGGTTATAGCCTACTATATACCTGTAGGGGTGGCCAGAACTGGTTATAGCCTACTATATACCTGTAGGGGTGGCCAGAACTGGTTATAGCCTACTATATACCTGTAGGGGTGGCCAGAACTGGTTATAGCCTACTATATACCTGTAGGGGTGGCCAGAACTGGTTATAGCCTACTATATACCTGTAGGGGTGGCCAGAACTGGTTATAGCCTACTATATACCTGTAGGGGTGGCCAGAACTGGTTATAGCCTACTATATACCTGTAGGGGTGGCCAGAACTGGTTATAGCCTACTATATACCTGTAGGGGTGGCCAGAACTGGTTATAGCCTACTATATACCTGTAGGGGTGGCCAGAACTGGTTATAGCCTACTATATACTTTGTATTGATAAAAGCTTACGTTTCTTGAATCTACATAAACGAAACTCAAACAAACAAGGACAGAACAGGGTTTAAATGACTAGGTTATCCAGAATAAATATTTAGGATATTAACTATACGTTTACTTGAACACTTGAAAACATTTAAACATAAATATTTACGATTATACCTTCAATACAGTACTGTTATTTATCTAAACCTACGTGCTTACTTAATCTTCTCTCGGGCTCAGGTGACACAAAGCGTCCGGGACATTTTCCATTGTTGTCGGTTTGGAATCAGGCCAAACGTCCTCATCTCCTTTTGTATTGATCTCTTCTATTGTATTGATCGTGCTTTATTGTGCATCTACTGCAGCCCTGAGAGCAGTGTCTGGTTATGCCCCAGTCGCCCCATCCTTACTCCTGATGACGGGCCCTTCAATGAAGTTCTTGGTATTTGTGTTCGTCCAGCATTTATCCTGAGAACATGTCGGAGGCGTTCTTTTTTTAAAGGTTCCCTATTATCGTATGATGGATTTTGTTTTACAGTATTCTGGGCCATACAGCATAACATGGTTATTCTTTTTATGACATTTCTGGGAAACATCTTGTTTGTCAGGGGTGATATTGCTATTCCTCTGTAGCTTATGTCTTTTCCCAAATCCCCTTTCTTCAGTGGCATTGCATTAGGTTAGGTGATTCTCATTTACTCAACAAATTGTAAGCAACTAATATTCCCTACCTGAGAATATGACTTAAGCACCAATTCTAATAACTTTTGAGAACCGCATTGATAAGTTTTGGGGGAAGGATGATAAGATATTAACAACAACAACATTGGAGTGACGTCACACAAGGACACTGTTATTTATCTTAATTCAATATCTTAATTCAATAAATATGGACTAGGTTCTGTCTACAGATATGCCTGCGTTTAAACTAAGTTAAACTACGTATTACAATCAGCCATGTCCCCACTCTGCTGGTGTTTTCCTATTTCCTAATATGTTGAGGTAAAATCCCTTACCTGTAAGTGATTCCGTTAGTGTGATTTGTCTTGTTTTTACTTGCAATTACTTCAGTGTTAGTATCGCCATAAGCAGGTTGTTATCACTCCCTATATCCACATTTGATTTCACTCTCACATTCTGAGGACAGTCCGCAATTAGATGTTAATAAAGATGTGATCAGTCCGCGATCAGTTCGGTGATGGGCCGGAAGGTGGTACTGCCGCCTGTAACTAGCTATTGACCTATGAGGTAATGGAGCTTCGATTTTATTTGTTCAAGTAGCCGTCAAATTCTTAATATTAAATACAGATTCAAATTCCTTAATCATTTATGGGATATTGCGACAATATAATGATATATGGATTGTGGAAAGCAAGGTTAGTTATAAATCGCAAAGTTCAGGAAGTCTGTAAAAGTAAAACTATAAATGGTATGCATGTGGCTATTGTGTGCTACAGTCGAGCCATTACACTGAGCATGTGATATAAGTACGGTGTGACGATTCAAACTAACCCCATAGTGACATGTTGCTGAAATCTTTGTTCAGCCTAACGGGTTCTGTAAGTTTAAATTAACTGTCGTTTTACACATGGATTAACCAAGTAAACTATAGTTAACAGATTCTCATTTCCATCCAGTTTTACGTGTATTTTCCGGTGCGCACTTTCGTTTACCTTTTTTATGTTTGATTACATGATATAAACATATTCAATACCGGGATTTTTAGCAAAGTTTTTCATTAACAGTTACAGGTGTTCAAGGTGAGATGGGAGCGGAACTGACGTCACTGATTGTTGCTGGGGTGCTGGCCGGTGTTCTTTGTGTCATACTTTTGTTTGTCATCCCCGTCGTGTGCTATATCAGGTTAGTATGACGTCATCTTCGTCGTTTGCTTTATCCGGTAAATATGACGTAGTTTTTATTGAAACACAAAATGTAAAATTTCAAAGGAATGATTTACAATATGTAAACGTTTATCCCTGTTTATTTTGTTACAGTACAGCTACTTGCCGTTATGCTAGTCACAAAATCTGAAAAAAACCCACAAAAACCAAATCCAGGTCCATGTAATTTTATTTAGCTTTTGTGGTTTTATCAACCGGCAAAATTGTTTGTACTGTACGATATTGTTTTTCCCCCTCACGTCATACTTGAGTTACATTCCCATTGAAGAGTCTCAAAATACTGCCCAAAATATTGTTTTGAAAGCGAATACTTCAATGTACTTTCGTTTTGCTATATTCTCGGATTCTGTAGCATATATCCATGCCGACTCTGAATTCCGATGTGTTTGGCGCTGTGGTACACTGATTACTTCCTACTATTATGTTTTTGGCGCTGTGGTACACTGATTACGTCCTACTACTATGTGTTTGACGCTGTGGTACTCTGATTACTTCCTACTAATATGTGTTTGGCGCTGTGGTACACTGATTCCTTCCTACTATTATGTGTTTGGCGCTGTGGTTCACTGATTACTTCCTACTACTATGTGTTTGGCGCCGTGGTACACTGATTACTTCCTACTATTATGTGTTTGGCGATGTGGTACACTGATTACTTCCTACTACTATGTGTTTGGCGCTGTGGTACGCTGATTACCGCCTACTACTATGTGTTTGGCGCTGTGGGACACTGATTACTTCTTACTATTATGTGTTTGGCGCTGTGGGACACTGATTACTTCTTACTATTATGTGTTTGGCGCTGTGGTATACTGATTACTTCCTACTATTATGTGATTCGCGCTGTGGTACACTGATTACTTCCTACTATTATGTGTTTGGCGATGTGGTACACTGATTACTTCCTACTACTATGCGTTTGGCGCTGTGGTACACTGATTACGTCCTACTACTATGTGTTTGACGCTGTGGTACTCTGATTACTTCCTACTAATATGTGTTTGGCGCTGTGGTACATTGACTACTTCCTACTATTATGTGTTTGGCGCTGTGTTACACTGATTACTTCCTCCTATTATGTGTTTGGCGCTGTGGTATACTGATTACTTCCTACTATTATGTGATTCGCGCTGTGGTACACTGATTACTTCCTACTACTATGAGTTTGGCGCTGTGGTACACTGATTACGTCCTACTACTATGTGTTTGACGCTGTGGTACTCTGATTACTTCCTACTATTATGTATTTTGCGCTGTGGAACCCTGATTACTTCCTACTATTATGTGTTTGGTGCTGTGGTACACTGATTACTTCCTACTATTATGTGTTTGGCGCTGTGGTACACTGATTACTTCCTACTATTATGAGGAGTATAAGATATGGTCAGTATTTATCATTAATTCACAAACGCGTATGGTGAAAAAGGGAAAACCACTGCATACGTTAAGTTACTCATGGTTATTTGGCCGACTCCCGTGTCACTAACCCGTGACCGTTACCAGGTCCTTGCTATGACGTTTAAAGTGGCCAATGAGTGTCTCTATCACTTGTGGACACCGTCTTAAATGACCTTTGCGGTTGCGATAAAGTAAAATCAACTTCCGAAACTCCAGGTGTTAATTACGCTCTCGTACGTGCTCTATGCGCGTAACCTCCGTAATGTCGAGGATAAGTGAATCCAAAAACATTCAAAATCAAATCGTCCATAAAATCGTTAAACGTTTTGTTGTGTTGTTTCAATTATATCTCTCTTTGAATTCAATTCAGACGGAGAAGACCACAACAACCTCCGTCAAAAAGAAAAACTAGACACGCACCTAAGCCTATGAGCAATGGCGATGCCAAGCATAAGAAACCGAGACAACAACAGAATGGTATTCCCATGTCTATGATGAACGGAGGTACTCGTAGTCCCAGGCATAACATGAATGGAGACCCGCCAGGCACAGTCAGAATGATGCCGTTCCATCAACCACGTGGAGGACCCGTGCCAATGGTCGGCACTTTTCGAGGTCCTCCCCCTCAACCAATCATCATCGGGACGACGTCTTACTCTAAAGGAACGTATCCTCGAGGGATGAACCCGATGGGAAACTATCCCAGGGGAATGCCTGCAAGAGGGACACATTCCAGAGCGAATCCATACATGGCTCACATGGGTCCTATGCCGCATGCGCAATATCCTCCCATGGCCCACCCTTACTTCTTTGGTCAGCAGTATCCGGTCCAGGTTGTGTACGTTACAGACTCCGATGAGAGCGACTCTGACTCCAGTGTCTCGGGCAGGTCTACAGTACGAGAGAGGAAATCGAGGTACCATCGTCAGTTCGTGTCCCCTAGAGTCCGGTCCACATTAATTATCAAGTATGTAGTACATGGTCCTACTCCTTCTGTTGGTCTACAGCGTAGTAACCGGGCTCACACTTATAAACCTATACAATGGAGCCTAATTAGTCCGGTTAAAAGTAAGTGATAATAACTGTTATGATAGTTTCATCAGGACTTATTACTTTTAAATGATATGCATGTGCACTAGCAGGCCCAGATAATCCGGATTATCTATATACTAGCAGGTCTTGATAATCCGGATTAACTGTATGTAGTAGAAGGTCCTGGTAATCCGGATTAAGGAGGTTCCATTGTACATGTACATATTATTGTAATGTAAAGGATGATGTATTTACATCTGCTTTGGCAAATTTCAATAAATGCTAACAGGATTTTATATATTTCGATATACGTATATTCTTTCGCATGCATTTTTTTTTCTTTTCCGTCAAGTTTTATAAAGTGTTTTTTGTTGTTGTTTTTAACACAATTTTAACTTCTCGGTCAACTTCCGCTTTGTAAAACTGTTGTATATATATAACAAAACAGAAGCTGTATGTGACTATGTAACCCTATCCATGTACATAGCCTGATAATATATAACCAATCCTTTCACATAGTACACGGCATTTCCAGTATGCAATTAGTTTTAGCCATAACACTCATACGAAGAATTCTCCCACGTTAGCGATGTAACGATGTTTTTCATTGGTCAATATTGAACAAAAAGCCTATCACACGCCCAAATAATGCATGCGCACGCAATGCTGTTTAAATGTTTATGAGTAATGGAAAAGATACCTTTCGTAACGTGTGGTATGGTAGAATAGATAAGCAGCAAATGTGTGTGTGTTATGTTGGAATACATGACTCCGGATTCGTGAAATATAGGAAATGTCGTCATTCGTTCATTACGTTTTCCTACATTTCTCATCCTACTCGTTTATTCCAGCATAATACAAGCACATGTGTTGATTATTTCTTTAATAAAATAACGATCTTATCTAATGTAGCATTGGTGACATATAAAAGGATTATAAATGCTAGGTTTGTTTTGAACATACACAGGAATTGACAACTTATTTTGCAAGCTTTCGAAAATGTCAGTTTCCTTTGTCAAGTAAAGAGTCTAAATGACCGGTGTCTCGAGTTTAAACCACTACAAACAACCCAATAGGCCACAGGGGACCTAATCAGTAAAGTCATCTGTCAAAAGTCATAGACACGTTTAATAAAAAAAAAAAGCACTCTTATACTGCAGGCAGTCGGTGGACGGGGAACATTATTACCCATTCCGCCTCGCAGTGAATAACTTTTCAATTTATTTTTGTGTTCAAAAACAGACTTGGCCTATATTAATCATACAAAGCTAATCAACCTCATTCAGAATGTAAAAGGGTTGATTTTTATCTTTTGTTGATAACAATTTATTTTAGTATATTCCTTTTGATATTAGATTAGATTTTCTACACGTATATTCTTAACGAATTACCAGCTATTTAATCCCAACACTAATGAAAGAGGTAACATTTTGACTCTTTACAGCGATAGTACGTCGTCAAGAGTAAGCTCTGGGTATGTATGATAGTCACAAGAATGTTGCATGTCCATCTCTGCTTTAAACAAGGAACACATGGAATCAGGTCTTCTCCTCGTTGAATAGTGCTGACTTGCAGATTGTTAGCTTATGCCATACCGTGGCGTCCGTCGTTCGTCCGTCCGTCCGTCCGTCCGTCAACAATTTCTTTAAACGACTTCTTCTTCTTAACCACCGGTTGGAATTAAACTAAATTTGACTGGAAGCATCCCTAGGTGGTGGGGATTCAAAATTGTACAAATGGTGGGGCTGACCCCCCAGGGGGCTGAGGGGCAGGGCCAAAAGGGGTCAATTTGCCCATATTGCTTTAAGCGACTTCTTCTCTGGAACTAAGAAGTGGATATCAACCATATTTGACTGGAAGCATCCCTAGGTGGTGGTGATTAAAAATTGTACAAATGGTGGGGCTGACTCCCCAGGGGGCTTAGGGGCGGGGCCAAAAGGGGGCAATTTGGCTATATTGCTACAAACGACTTCTGTAGAACTGTGCACTGGATATCAATCATATTTGATCAAAAGCATTCCTGGGAGGCAGGGATTTAAAATTGTACAAATGGTGTGGCTGACCCCCCAGGGGGCTGAGGGGCAGGGCCAAAAAGGGTATTTGGCTATACTGCTTTAAGTGACTTCTTCTCTGGAACTAAGTGATGGATATCAACCTTATTTGACTGGAAGCATCTCTAGGTGGTGGAGATTCAAAATTGTACAAACGGTTGGGCTGACCCCCCAGGGGGCTGAGGGGCGGGGCCAAAAGGGGGCAATTTGGTTATATTGCTATAAATGACTTCTTCTGCAGAACTATGCCATGGATATTGATCATATTTGGTCGGAAGTATTCATGGGAGGCAGGGATTCAAAATTGTACAAATGGTGGGGCTGACCCCCCGGGCTAAGGGGTGGGGCCAATAAAATGTATTACTTGGAAATGGTTGAGATCCCCACCATATAACCATATATACAATTGCTGAGTATAAAGAGAAGAATGCACATTTGCTTCCAGGATGTCCCTAGGGTCTGGCCCCACCCTTGGAGACATAGTCCCTGGGCCATAACTTTAAAACGGTTGAGATCCCCACCCCAAAACTATATATACAAATGCTGGGCATAAAGAGACGAATGCAATCATGATATCAGAATAGACCCTGGGGTCTGACCGAACCCCTAGGGACCTAGTTTCTTAGTCACAGCTTGGAAACAGTTGAGAGCCCCACCCTATAACCGTATATATACAATTGCTGAGTATAAAGAGATGATTGCACATATGCTTCCAGGTTGGCCTTGGGGACTGCCCCACCCTTGGAGACTTAACCCCTGGGTCATAACTTTGAAATGGTTAATATCCCCACCCCAAAACTATATATACAATTGTTGGGCATAAAGAGACGAATGCAGTCATGACATTAGAATTGATCCCAGGGTCTGCCCCACCCTTGCAGACTTGGCCCCTGGGTCATAACTTTGAAACGGTTGAGATCCCCACCCCAAAACTATATATACAAATGCTTGGCAAAAAGAGACAAATGCAGTCACGATATTAGAATCGATCCTGGGGTCTGGCCACAACTCTAGGGACCTAGTTTCTGAGTCAAAGCTTGGAAACAGTTGAGATCCCCACCCCATAACCATACATAAAATTGCTTGGCATGAAAAATCTAATATAGCTATGCTACAAGGATTGGCCTTGGGGTCTGGCATATTCCCTTGATCTCATTTGGAGAATAGTTTGCCATGATTGCTTAGGTATCCAGGTGAGCGATACAGGCCCTCTGGGCCTCTTGTTTTAAAATGTATTCAATGTTCAACTGTTAATGGCAAGGGAACGTTTAACTGCGAGTTAATGGCAAGGGAACGTGTAACTGCGATTTAATGGCAAGGGAACGTGTAACTACGATTTAATGGCAAGGGAACGTGTAACTACGATTTAATGGCAAGGGAACGTTTAACTGCGAAAGAATGTAGCTAGTAACCATGCTATACAGTAAAGTAAAACCTCGATGTAAAGCATTTGTATTGGTAATTTGTAATCATTTGCTATTCCACTTACTGCCTATTTTCCGTTTTTAGGTCACCTGAGACAAAGTCTCAAGTGACCTATTGCGATCGCCTTTTTCCGTCGTCGTCCGTCGTCCGTCGTCCGTCGTGCGTCCGTAAACAATTTACATTTTTGACTTCTTCTCCAAAACCCCTGAACCAATTTTAATGAAATTTTGCAGGGACCTTCCATGGACAAAGGTCAACAAAAACAGTTGCCGGTTTAGTCCTAAGCCCCCAGGGGCCTGAGGGGCGGGGCCAAAAAGGGT